CCCCCCGTTAAAAGCATTTAAAACAGTTTAAAAGATTGATTATAGGGGTATGAACTCACCATATGTGGGCTATTCAAACGAATGTGTGTGTAAGGATGAGAAGTGTTGGATTAGGTGTCTATGTTCATAACTATTTCTGGAATGTACTTGACCCGATTAGCATGGTCCATTTGGGTTGCATGGCATCATGCATTTGGATAGACTAAAAAGAGAGAAATAACACTTACGGTTTACTAATATATTAAAAGTTCTAATATTTTAATAATATTATTTAATTAGTATTGATCAAGAATTAATTTGGAATTAATTAAGTGATCAAAAGAAGATTAATTAAATATATGGGTTGATTGTGTAAATCATCCATACTTGTATAGTGGGATAATGCTCCATGGATTATCAAGTTGGGCTAAACCCATAGGATGCTCCATGGTGGTTATAGAACCCATGGGTCATGGAAATGAAAAGTCATGACAATTAGGGTTTACTTGGTGTAACCCTAATTGTAAAACACTATATAAGCATCCCTATGTTCACTAAAAATCGGCCACTAAGCATACAAGTGAGGGCTAGCCAATTTCAAGAAGTGTATCATTTCTCTCTAAGTAATTCCAAGTGTATTTGGTGTTGTGTGAGTCATTTGAGGCATCACACTTGAGGTGCTAGGCTCACAAGGTTTTCAAGGAATCAAAACTACTACAAGGTATGATTTCTAACTATCTTTTATGATTAAAAGCCCCCCATGTATGCTAGATAGGTTATGAACCTTGGAAAATCAATATTGCATGTATCATAGATAAAACATAGATCCAAGGTTTCTAGGGTTGCATGTACACCATAGGAGTGTTAGAATGCTCAAAACCCTTCAGTGGTATCAGAGCCTAGGCTTGTTTGTTTGATACTTGATGCAAAATTGTGAAAAAACTCAGTTTTTCTGCATTCTAAAGCATGAATTCGCTGAGTCCATGGGGGGACTCGACGAGTCCATGACCAAATTCATCCTACTCGACGAGTAGGCTCTTGCACTCGACGAGTAAGAGCCCCTGAATGCAGATTTTCGAGATTTGCTGCTGGAAATGTTCTAGAAACATTACCCTAAACTGTTTTGGAGTTATAAAACCTGTTTTAGATGGTGTAATGGTTGTTCTAATCCATTTACAATGGCTAATATCAAATTTTCATGTTTATATGTGTTCATATGTTCTTGAAATTTTGATAGGAATATTCATGTTCTTATGAGTTCTTGATAGATCATAGGAATTGCTTGTTTAATGTTTAATTCATGATCTTTATGTGTTTTAATGGAATCCATAATTTTTCATCAAGTTATGGATTACCAAAAGTCTTTCTTTTAAAGTCCATTAAAGAAACACATATGTTACATAAAATGAAAAGTCACTCATTTTATTACATCATTAACTCATAAGTTATGAAAAGATGAAAAGTTTTGAAAGTTACAAAACTTGCCCTCAAGTTTTGGAACATGTAAAGTCACTTTAAAAACTTTAAGTTTCAACCCCTAGAATTTTAAAAGTCAAAATTCAACCCTTATACTTTATAATATTATAAGTTAATAATATATGTATAATATATATATATTATATATATATATATAATATATATATATAAACCAAGTCGTTTTACCGTTAGTAGGCCTCATTCACGAAGCTGGTCTATAAGGGGGGTATAAGGTTGTTGCCTATAAAATGGCAGCTTAATGGGTGTCCACTCGCACCCACCGCTTCCTTGACTGGTGGAGGGTCGTTAGCCGAACGGGTAGGACAAGGACTTCTAAATCTTCATTAAAAGTATGATGAAAAATAAAGTAACTAAATGTTTTTTATAAATTCCCAATCTTAGTTACTTTAGGAAAATGTGAATAAGGTGCTAACCCATGAAATTACACTTTCCACTTTGATTTAGTCGTTAGTGGAGCGTGTGTGGTTAACCGGCACACTAACTTGGACTTAACAAGGTAGGTAAAGGGTAACTTAATATTTATCATAGTATCGATGGAGCGCGTGTGGTTAACCGACACATCGATTGAGGGGTAAATGTTAAGGGTACCAAGTAATTTGCATGGTTACTTCACATTTTGTTTTGTGATCCTCGGCATCCCAGTCACAAAACCTGAAGGGCACACTCGAGATTGAAACATGCCATTGAAAAGTTCAATGAATCTCAAAGAATCTAGGAGTTCCAAAAAAAACCAATTAAAACCTAATAATTTATTTCGTTTTTCATGGTGGAAATTGGTGAATCGTCATTCACCTACCTTCAAATATTTTATAGCTTGGATTACGACATCCCTCTTCTAAATTATAAAATATTGTGTTGGGTCCTAGCCTTAATATTACATTTGGGTGTTTTATTAAGGACTATCTTTATATCTAATCTAAACTTGTCTTTCTTATTTTCAGATGTCTTCCAACAATGTTGCTTCTGGCTCAAACCCTACCGGATCCTTCTCTCTCATGAACCTTTGTGGGAGAGTCGTCTTTGATGGATCCAACTTCATGGATTGGATCAGGAACATCAGAATGGTGACTCGATATGACGACAAGGAATATGTCATCGACAAGGAGCTTAAAGAACTCGAGCCGACTGCTACTCCTGAGGAGGTTGCTGAATATCAGGCCCATAAAAGGGATGCTACAAAAGCGGCATGCATCATCTTGCCAACTATGACAGCCGAGCTGCAAAAGTCCTATGAGGACTATTATCCTTTTGAGATGCATCAGGATTTGATGGACTGCTACCATCAGAGTGCTCATCAAGAGCGATATGAAATCATCTCCTCTATGATAACGAACAGGATGAAGGATGGTGAACCCATCACGGGCCACATGCAGAAAATGCAAAGGTATGTGGACCGTTTGCTGAAACTGAATGTGAACTTCCCCGAGGAGTTGGCAATAGATATCATTTTGCACTCCTTACCTTCGTGTTATGATCAATTTCGCATGACATACCACATGAACAAGGAGGAAGTTACCCTCAACAAGCTTCAAGGACTCTTGAAGACCGCCGAAAGTGGTCTTAAGGGTAAATCGGTTGTTACCACTACCACTCCTACTCCAAACTTCACCCCTGTCTTGGCAATCGGGAAAGGTAGAGGAAACAAGAGGAAGAACCCTTCGAAGGGTACCAAGGGAAAGTCCCTTGATTGCTCCACCTCAAGTGGAACCAAGAAAGGTTTTGTCACTCCTTCTTCTGACCCAAAAGAGGCTGAATGCTTATATTGCCATGAAAAGTCGCACTGGAAGCGAAACTGCCCAAAGTACCAGCAAGATCTTAAGGATGGGAAAGTAAAACCCAACCATCACTACTAGAAAAACAACCTTTTACGACGCGCAATGTGTGTCGTAAAAGGCTCAGACGACGTGCAAATGCGTGTCAAGGAAGCCCTTGTCACAACGAGAGACGACACACTTTTGCGCATCGTCTATTTACAACACGCATTTACTACGCGCAATTACGACGCGAGTTTATGATACACATTGCGTACCAAGGAAGGCCCTGTCATAAATGAAGATGACACGCATTTGCGTGTCGTAACCTTACGATGCGCATTTACGACTCGCATTGCGTATCATTAAAGCACCTGTCAAGAAAGGTCATGTCATAAATGAAGATGACACACATTTTTGCGTATCATAATTTTATATGTTTGAAAAAAAATATTATTTATAGATTTACTAATTTTCAAATTAAATTTGTATTTAATGTCTCATAATAGAAAATAAAATATCATATACAAAAAATACAATCTGTTGCATAAAATTTAATGTCATATAAATAATCGTTACATGGAAAGATAAAACAAATCAATAGAAGCTGTAACAAAAATTTACAAACTAATTAGATACAAGAAATATAAAAAAAAATATACCTCAAAATGTTTCAAAGTCTAATCTCCATGTCAGCTCTTCAATTCACTTCTCCAGTTGTGTCCTTAGCGCTCTAAGAGAGCCCACCAGCTCTCTTGCAGCCTGTGACAACATATTATAAGTTTTAATATTATTGATTTCTTATATTCAAAGCATTTAGATAAAATTGTAATATATAAGACTTAGATTTTTTTAACAGAAAACCATCGCACATCACCATTCAACATCTTAATTCTTTCCTTCTACCTTTGAGGAAACTCTCTTTACTTGATACTTTCAGCGGCATTAAGACAAAATACAAATCATATATTTCTACCTTGTTCTATTTTAACCTTTAATTGAATTTCAAAATGAAAATGACAAGATTTTCTTATTGTCCATTAACAGTCTAGGCCTCTCTCATGTAAAACGTCAAGTGAAAAACGTATCCACCAAGAAAACATCAACACTGCTTCATATGACAATATTTCATTCACATACCTTCTCAACTAACACAACATAATAAAAAACATTTGAATTTATGAAAAAAAGTAAAGATAATATGCAATCCAGGGACAACATGAGAATAATGATAAGGAAAGAGCTAAACTTGGACTTTGACTTCAAACCGACTCATTTTCAACTTTAGTATTCAAGCTCTTCTAGGTGAATTCACTAACTCCTCTTTTGACCTGTACTAAAAATCATGTCTAGTAGTCTTACCAGGCATGTTAACGAATTATAAAACAAATCATATCAATATCCCAACTTTTTAACTAATGACAAACATAACCTTGTCAATGCAGCGATCCGCATCCAGAAGATAATAGAAGTAAGAGAGTTGCTTGTACACATCAGCCTCCGAATACTAGTCAACAATTAAATTTTCAGTTTTTGATGAAGTGTATTGACAAAAATAGTGTTTTTGACTTTGAGATAACAGAAGCACACTGGTTACTAATTTTTTGATCATAGACTGATACAGCCCATAATTGATTATTAGAGGCTGGACGATAAAAGTTTGGCTTGGGCCTGTGACTGGTTAAAATATAAGTAACTCCTAACATTTCATTATTTCTAACTATATACAATTTTCAAAACCTTGAGTTATTATTTAACAAATATATATAAATCTTACGAAGGTGTGTAAACAGGTCTTCCAGCCTCAAGATGCAACGTGACATGATTTTCCATAGATGATAAGAGTGACATGTGCTTCATTTTAGTATACCCCTGTAAAAAATAAACCATAATACAATAAGGAAAAAATATAAAATCACATTTTAAAATACAACAAATATAAAGACTCACAATGCTCTTGGCAAGTGCCTTTGCAAGAAGCTCTACTGGTTTTAGGCCGGAAGTGTTTAACAACTCTTCAGCAGCCGACTTGAAAACAGGGATCACACTGCAAAAAAATTTAAACAACCATGTTATTTAACAATTCAATGTTATAATCGTAAAATCACTACCAGTGTATTATACCTATCAGCAACTTGAATTATAGCTTCCACAGCATCACCACCAACAGCTTTAGCAATATCAGCAGGTTGAGGGGCGGTATATGTGTTCAAACAAATGCATTAAGAATCGCAGAATCAGACTTTGATGCTAAGGATGGAACTTCTCAGTTCCCACCACCAACAGTAAGAAGTAGTCTCATCTAATCTAGTTATAGTGTCCCGTGACAATCTGATCCTAACCGACTAGTCACATCTCCAATACTTTTAGAGTCAAAAAAGTTTGTCCTGTGAAAAAAGTGAGGTTACAAATGATGTTGATATATTATAATGATGTTTTTGTCCAGAAAGCTTCATATAACCTCCTAATCAGATTACTAATAAAAATGGATTTATTGGGAAAATTGAACCTAGATACCAAGTCTTGTAGTTCAATCATCTTGTTCTCAAGTCCTGTTGTTGCATATAGATAGACAAGGTAGCCAAAAGTGGTCTCATCGGGGTGAACACCTAACAGAGACATTATGTCGAGCACCTTGTGTGCATTAGTAATCGATTCTTGTTCAAGGCAACAACCCTACAAAATCGTGTTATAAGCAGACAAATGAAGTTTGTGATATATCAACCAATAGATCTGATAGTACATAAAAAATATCTAAAATGAAAAAAAAAACATATCTTTATACCTTCCCTGTACCGTCCATGGCGACTATAAGGGTGTAAGTTCGTTTAGAAGGAGAGGAGAGACGTATATGATAATTGATATTTTGGAAGGGTGATTGAGTTGTGAAGAGTGAAGTGGAGTCGAGCTTCGAAGAGCGGTAGAGCCCGGAGAAAAGAGGCGGAGTAGCAGCGGAGGATTTAGGACCGGAAAGTTGGGATGCTGGTGTAAGAGAAGTTGAAATTATCGCCAAAGTAAACCCTACTTCAGAGCTTGGAGTCCATAAAAATGGTGATAGCTGGTAGCAAGTGGTGAATGGGGGGACGGATGAGTATTGAATATGATCTAGGGTTCATTGTTGTTTGTAGTTGATACCATGGTTGCAGAGCGCCAAAAATCTGAAAGGGAAAAAGATTCACAACTGCACAGTGCTAATAGGGTTTCTTCGATAGAGCATTTTACATCAGAAGGAGGAGATGCATCACTTTGATAACATCAACATCAAAAAGATGAAAGGGAGAGGATCGGAGAACAAGCGGGGTTTTGAATTTTTTGGGATTTCATTTCCCACCTTGTATTAAAGGATGGAGGCGCGTTTCACCCAAAAAATATAAAACGACATTCTTACACGACACCCGTTTAACATAGGTGCCCTCCGTGTTTGTAAATTTTTTTCTGTTGGACACCAATTTCAGGGCACGCAAAAATACGCGTCCTCTACCCTTCATATTTTTAAAAACTGACATTATTTTTAGGACACACAAAAAAAGTGTATCGTAAATTAGTGCGTGTCATTGTTCGCGCATTATTAAAGGGCTGTTTTCTAGTAGTGCATGCAGGTATTTACACTATATTGTCTAATAACTCACCCTATTCTAACTCTTGGGTCCTTGATACCGGTTGTAGTATTCATATTTGTTCTGATTTGCAGGGACTAAGAAGAAGTGAGAATGTGGAGCATGGAAAGATAAACTTGATCATGGGGAATAGGAAAGCTTCACCTGTCACCAAGATTGGAGTTTATTCTTTATTGCTAAGTAGTGGGTTTACATCAAATTTGAATAAATGTTGTTACTCACCTAAAATGGCAAGAAATGTTATTTCCTTTTATGCTTTGTACAAACAAGGTTTTACCTTTTCATTTGATAATGATAGTGGTGGTATTTATGCTTTCTTTAATAATGTTAGTTATTTTAAAGCATTACCTTGTGATGATGTGTATGAATCTGTGTCGGTTGTAGAAAATCTAGGAAACAATGTGTTGTGTATTGATTCTTCTAATAATAACTTGGATAAAGCATCATTATGGCATTGTCGTCTTCGACATGTAAGCAAGAAACGCATAGGCCAACTCCAAAAGGATGGAGTCTTGGAGTCATTTCATATAAAGTCAGATGATAGTTGTGAATCATGCTTACTTGGGAAAATAACAAAGTCACCCTTCACTGGTACATGTGCTAGGGGTGAAGGTTTGTTGGATCTTGTACACACTGACGTGTGTGGACCCTTCGAAACTACAACAAGGGATGCTAATCGTTATTATGTGACTTTTACTGATGATTATAGTAGATATGGTTATGTCTACTTAATCAAGCATAAGTCAAAGACTTTTGAAAGGTTTAAAGAGTTTAAACAGGAAGTAGAGAATCAATTGGGCGGGAACATTAAGATGCTTCGATCCAATCGAGGTGGTGAGTATCTTAGTACAGAGTTCCTTGACTATCTTAAGGAATGTGGGATTATCTCACAATTGACACCTCCCAGGACACCGCGGTTGAATGGTGTGGCTGAGAGGCGTAATCGGACCTTGTTGGACAAGGTTCGTTCCATGATGAGTCGAGCTTCGCAACCAATCTCATTCTGGGGGTATGCCTTAGAGACTGCTGCCCATATCCTTAATCTAGTCCCTACAAAGAAGGTTGCCAAAACACCTCATGAGATGTGGACCGGAAAAGTTCCCAATCTGGACCACATCAAGATTTGGAGTTGCGAGGCTTTTGTGAGGCATGAGTCTCACGATAAGCTCGAACCTCGAAGTGAGAGGTGTATTTTCATCGGCTACCCACAGAGATCCTTTGGTTACCTCTTCTACAGACCTAGTGATAATGTGGACTTTGTAGCAAGGAGAGGAGTCTTTCAAGAGAGATAATTTATAAGCCAAGCAAACAGTGGGAGGCAAATTGACCTTGAAGAAATTCAAGATTCAAGTGGTGAAGGAACCTCAAACCCTAGCAATCAACCTGAGGAGGAAACTCCTGTTGATCCGACAGAAGAGTCTGTACCTCTGAGGCGTTCCACGAGAGTTAGGAATGCACATGAGCATTACTATGGTTTCCATATTACTGCGGAAGGTGATGCACTTATCAGTGATAGCACACTGGTATTTCTGGATGAACCTAACAGCCACACGGAAGCCATGGCAGACCCTGAGGTTGCTAAATGGAAAGAGGCTACGGACAGCAAGATACAATCCATGTATGACAATCAAGTTTGGAACTTGGTTGACAATGTACCAGGTCGTAAGACAGTTGGTTGCAAGTGGATCTTCAAGAAGAGGACCGACATCGATGGTAATGTGCACACTTATAAGGCGCGACTGGTTGCAAAGGGATTTTCTCAAACTCCGGGAGTTGATTATGATGAGACCTTTTCACCAGTAGCCAAGATTAAGTCTATTAGGGTTATGCTAGCCATTGCTGCATTTAGTGACTATGAAATATGGAAAATGGATGTCAAAACCGCTTTCCTTAATGGAAAGTTGGCTAAGGATGTTTACATGAGTCAGCCAGAGGGTTTTGTCAGTGCAGAGTACCCTAACAGAGTGTGCAAGCTTCAAAAATCCATTCATGGATTGAAGTAAGCACCTCGCAGATGGAATCTTTGCTTCGATGAGAAGGTCAAAGAGTTTGGCTTTTCGAGGAGTGAAGATGAATATTGTGTATATGTCCAGGCTAGTGGGAGTATAGTCAGCTTTTTGGTATTGTATGTGGATGACATACTACTCATAGGAAATGACATCCCAACTCTGCAGGAAGTTAAGTCCTGGCTTGGGAAGTGTTTCGCTATGAAGTACCTTGGAGAAGCTGCCTATATCCTAGGGATAAGGATTTTGGAGTAAAAGACTAATTGGACTTAGTCAGAGTACCTACTTGGATAAGGTGCTGAATAGGTTCAGCATGCAGAATTCCAAGAAAGGAGAGTTACCGATCCAGAGTAACACCAGACTGAGTAAAACTCAGAGTCCGAGCATAGAGGCTGAGATAGCATAAATGAGTCGAGTACCGTATGCTTCCGCTGTAGGCTCGATCAGGTATGCTATAACTTGTACTCGTCCTGATGTGGCTTTTGCATTGAGCATGGTCAGCAGATATCAGGGGAACCCTTGCAAGGCTCACTGGACTGCGGTAAAGAACATTCTCAAGTACCTGTGGAGAACTAAGGACTGGGTTCTTACTCTCGGTGGAAGTGATGACTTGAGAGTATTGAGGTATAGTGATGCTAGCTTTCAGACTGATAGGGATAATTTCCGCTCTCAGTCAGGCTGGGTCTTTACCTTAAACGGAGGAGCAATTTCTTGGAAAAGTTCTAAGCAGGAGACAGTGGCTGATTCAACTTGCAAATCAGAGTATATAGCGGCAAGCGAGGCAGCAAAGGAGGCTATATGGCTAAAGAACTTCATTGGAGACCTTGGAGTTGTACCAACTATAAAGGAGCCTAAAGAGATTTTCTGTGATAGTGAAAGCGCAGTTGCCTTAGCAAAGGAACCAAGGGATCACGGGAGATCCAGACACATCGACAGAAAATACCATTTCATCAGACATCGAATAGAAGAAGGACTCCTCGTGGAAAAGAGGGTATCATCGGATGAGAACCCGACAGATCCCCTCACGAAGGGACTGGGCAGGGTTAAGCATCTCCAGCATGCAAGGAGCATAGGGCTGAAGGATGATATTATTTTTAGTAGTTAGATAGCTTTGAAATGTGAAAAGTGTAATTGGCATTTGATGATGAATAAAATTTGTGTTTATTTATGAGTAAAGTGTTGCTATCTTTTGTCAATCGTTTACTATCGTTTCATTTTGCATGTTTTGACTTCCAGAATAATTACGTTTGGTATATCATATTATTAGATTCTCCACAGTCGGTCATATGTTGGAAGTAGGTATGAATCAAGACTATTATGAGTTGGTTGTAGAGGTCTAAGATGTTGGACATGGCTACAACACTCATGAGTGCTCATAAGTTCTGAGTATTGGATTCAACCCACGCTCGCTGGTATCACTTCATGGAATCTATCTCGAGTGATCGCGAGACGGTAATATCATATAAGTCTTCAAACCTAGAGATATGACTTGTTGCCTATGAGTTGGTTATGCATTGATTGTACGAAAATGCATTGGTAACTCGATGTTATAAAATGTGCCTTTGTGTATGATTCAACAAGTAGTAGAACAAGCATATGAGTCGAAGTTTATCTGTTCCTTCTTGGATTAGAAGCGATATTTGGGCCCCTCGATGATTTTGTGTTGACCCATGTACGGGGCCTAGTCAGAACTAAGTTGATGTGTTCAATTAAGTTCTATGTCAAACAAATCGGAAATCGAGAAACAAACTGCTGGACAATAAGTAAGACATTGTTCCATGTATTTGTCCGGCTGATATCTAGAACAGAGGATTATATGATCACTTATCTTAAATGGCGTATCATCATTATCTCACTTCCGAGAGACCTTGAAAGAGCTACGATTGCTGATCGGTTCCTGAAGTCATTCTTGCAGTTATAGTTATTAGACTTATCCAAGTGGGAGACTGTTGGATTAGGTGTCTAAGTTCATAACTATTTCTGGAATGTACTTGACCCGATTAGCATGGTCAATTTGGGTTGCATGCAATCATGCATTTGGATAGACTAAAAAGAGAGAAATAACACTTATGGTTTATTAATATATTATAAGTTCTAATATATTAATAATATTATTTAATTAGTATTGATCAAGAATTAATTTGGAATTAATTAAGTGATCAAAAGAAAACTAATTAAAT